TTTTCAATATGCATTGCATCAAGGAAATACCTCACATCTTGGGACTTCCAGTATGACAATTCAAAGAAGATAGACTTCTTTTTCTAACTATTTGTAACAACCCTACCTGCAACTAGTTTTCTAAATTTGATATTTAAGTCATTAACCATTTCAAAGCTGCTCATCAATTAAAGACAAAGGAACTCTACCCTTTTCTGAGTGGCCATTGAAGGCTTTTTTCAACCATCAATAATGATGTGCTTAAGGTAGAAATCAACGATGACTCATAAATATATTCTTCCTATAATGTTCCAATCGCACTGAACAAGTGTTCTCTTCACATACAGGTCATGCATCTTGCCCTTTAATACTATATCTTGATAAGTTTTCATAAGCAAGAAAGTCATTTATAGTGCCAAATAACATAGCTTGCAAGATGAATTGTTCCTCCCTGTGCCCATCATAGACCTTCACACCTATCTCTCACAGTAGCTTCAAACCTTCAATTAACGGAGCTAAGCACACATCTATATTATTTCCTACTTGTTGAGGCCCAGAAATTAACAATGACAGCATCATAAATTTGCATTTCATGCACAACCATGGAGGAAGGCTATAAATTATCAAAATTACCAATCATGTATTATGAGTTCTACTTTGCATGCTATAAGGGTTCATTTCGTCAGTAGCTAAGGCAAAGCACAAGTTTCTATCTTCATCCCTAAGCTCGAGATATATAAGATCAAATTTTTTTCATTGAGGAGAATCTGCAAAATGCTATAGCTTTCTATCTTTAATTCTCTCGTCAGCATGCCATGTTAAGTGCTTGGCATCTTCTGCAATACTGTATAAGCGTCTGAATCTTGGTATGATTGGAAAATACCATAACACTTTTGTCAAACTACACCCATTTCTCTTACCGTGATGCATCACATTTTGGACACTTATCTAAAGTTGAATACACATTTTGAAAGAGGACAAAATCATTGCGACATACATGTATCTTCTCATAACTCATCCCAATAGAACATAGTATTTTTTTAGCTTTGTAAGTATTAGGTGGAAGTTCATTGTAGCTAGGCAACATCTCATACAAAAGTTCAAGTAAATCTGTGAAACTTTTATCGCTCCATCCATTAGCTGCTTTTAGGTTGTACAATTTTAAAACAACCAACAATTTTGTGAATTTTTTTCAATTGCCGTATAATGGTTTATTAGCATCACTCTTCAATCTCTCAAACATCTCAGGACAGTCCTTAAAATCCTCTTCAACCATATCAATTATCTCATCAAGATGATCAACATTATATATCCCACTATCATGATTAAATGATGTGTAGCTCACATTATCCATTCAATTGCTAGTGTAATTTCTTGTCTCTCCATGCATGGTCCAACAGTGTATTTGGATCATCCCATTACATACTAAATGATTTTTCAATTCTATTGGCTTTACTCGTCTTCCATAGCAACATTTTAAACAACAGCATATGACTCCACGAGGATCTTGATCACGAGAAAATGCAAACTCAATGAACTCATCCACCCTATCCTAATATTCTCTACAAAATCAATTAGCCGACATTCATTTATGATCCATATTACTAATATAGTCGTAAAAATTCAAAAAACAAAGATCAAAGATTTAGAATATTTTTTAAAAAATTTGGTAGAGTCTCCCCTAAAAGTGAAACATCCCAAATAACCAAATCCAACAATTCAATATATCAATTCATCAAAAAATAAATTTGTAGCATAATGTAACAAAAATCTATCAAACAATTCAACATATAGCACTTAACTAACATAAAGTAAATTTCAATATAAGCACACCAAAATTTATTTACATAATAACTCAATCATATAACAATTATAATTAACTTCAAGTTCAATTTTAACTAAAAAGGGAGTAGTTTAATGTCTAAAAAAATACCAAAGTTATAGAGTAGTATCATCAAACCTATATTATTATTAGTATATATATATATATATATAATAACATATTAAAATTACTATATAATTATATAATTTTTAAAAAATTTAAAACTAATCTGGCGACTTGCAAAAGAGCAAATCCAGCGATGCAATTTCAGTAGTGATTCCAACACGATTGTGAGCAGTGATTCCAATAAAATTTTGAATAGGGACAAGCGGCAGAATTTCGAACAAACATGCAGAAGATTCTAGCAAGCAGTGATTCTGGAGCGAATAACTTGGACAGAATTTCAACAAGGACGGACGGTCGAATGCATTTTGCTACTTGAAGAAGCTGCTAGCAGCATGCATGGCAATCGACATCGATAGAAACGACGATGGTAGCAACTATCGGCGATAAGGATGGCGTACTAGCAGTAGGCGATAGCGGGAAAGGGAGAACAAAGCTTCAAGGGTTTTGAAGAGAATGGTGTTGAATGCCTCGTGTGCATGCTCGACACTGTTATTAACTGATGTTTCTTTTCTTTAAAAATAAATAAATAAATAAGCCTTTTGAAGCGCTTATAATATAAGTGATCCTAAAGGCACCTATAGGAGCGCTCATGGAGAAAGCACTCCCATGGGCAGACCTATAGGTCATTATTTTTGTTTTAATTTTTTTCTATAAACCTATAAGAGTACTTTAATGAAAAGTGCTTCTATAGGTCACTAATTTTTTTAAATTATTTTTATAATCCTATAAGAGTGCTTTATTAAAAAGTGCTCTCGTATTTCTCGCCTATGTATTTTGAAGTTCTTTTGTTGGTAAGTGCTCTGAAATAGGTACTCCTAAAATCATGTTTTACAGTAGTGGACTTTTCACATCTATTTAAGTTTACTTACACTTAAATAGCTTAACAATCTCCCCTTCAAGTGTGAGTTCACAAGCTCCCCATAGCAAAGACGCTCCAAACACTAGCTTATAAGTACAAGCAAGAATATAGAAAAGATGTCATATTTTAACTTAAAACTTTAAAGCCCAAGTTTATAGATCATTCCTCTTTATTTTATTTTAGTTACTAATCTCAAATTTATTCAATATGGGACTTCTCACATTTATTTAAATCCACTCACATTTGGATAACCTAACACATATCAGGAAAATAATTTGGTTAATATATGAATTAAAATATATTTATGCATGACTTTTTTTGTTAAAACTCTTAGTAAAGTTAAATCATAATGCATGAAATTATTTCAAGTTTAAGTTATACACAAATAATAATATATAGAACTTCATTTAATTCTCTAAAAAGATTTCATAATATTTTATTATTTCTTCTTATTATAAACAGGAAAACTAGTTGAAAAAAAATTGTTTCAATTTTAAATGTAATGCCTAAATCTCTTTTATCTAAGGTTTCAAAATGGAAATGGATTGGCTGGTTCAACCGATTCCAATATGAATTTTATACATACATACATATACATATATATAATGGGATATATACTCGATCACATATACATAATATTATGTGATATATATAGATTAACCAGTTCACTTTAGAATTGTGTATACATTATGCTTCATCGTCCAAGCCCATTCAATCACAGTCCGACATTTATTATTTTTTCCACACTACATATATTGATTGCACAAACAACAATAAAGGTAATTTAATTTCCAATGCAATTGATTAAAAAGAGAAATATTTTAAAAGCCAACGCATGTGGGGTTTTTTTTTTTTACAAATAAATAATTTAAGTAATTTTCTTAATGTATGAGCCGATTTGACAAATTCTCACCCCGCTGATATGTAGGCGTCATAAAAAAAAAGTATTAAGAATTTCCTAGAAGAGCTACTCATATACCGCGGCGGATGACGGCTGACTCTCACACACACGCACACACGAGCTACTCATATACCGCGGCGGATGACGGCTGAATCTCTCTCTCTCTCTCTCTCTCTCACACACACACAGCACTGCAATCCAATGTTTTCATGGTCTTAAAAAGAGTCAACGATTCACAATTTAATTTTACATGATCAAATTAATGATATAATAATTACATTAAAAAATTACATATATAATAATTTAAATATAAAATTACTACTTAACTTAAAAATAAAATTAAATATTTTAAATTTATCATAATTTAATAAGTCACATGATACAATATAACATCAAATGATTAAAAAAATTAGTCATTTTTTAAAATAATTAATAAAAAGTTTAAAAAAAAGAAAAGGGCATTTTTTGTACAGTTCAATTTTTAAAAACAGGATTTGATTCTTGGCTTGATCCTAATTTTTAATCTGACCATTAGACCATTGCAGCCTAATTTCGCCCAACTCCTCAAAAAAAAATTCAGCTTGATCAAGTTGTTAGCCTAACCAATCGATGGTCTAACCGTCCGGTTTGATCTAGTTTTTTAATCATTGCTAGAAACAAGTAATCCATTCATTTAAAAAAAATAAGATATTTTTAGTTTTTAATATATAATTAATGAGTTTCTTTTTTAAAATATATTTAATAAATAAATCATTCAACCCTTCTTAAATAAGGACAAACATGGAAAAGTGGTGTTAATTTAAAACAATTATCTAACTTTAGGGGATGCAATTTTATTAAAAATGTCTTATATTTTTTAAGAGAATGATTAATATACAAAATAAATGGGATAATGAAACTTTCAGACCTTCAAAAATTTTTTAAATTATTAATTTAATCCCTCAAGTTTAATTTTAATCAATTTGGTTCTTTACATTTTCTTAAATTATTATGTTAGTTTTTTAAATTTTAAAACACAAATTAACTATCAAATTCATCTAATTTATAAAATATATTAATAACTTGACATGTATATGTATTAAAATGAAAACAAATTGACCCTTAAATTAGTTTAATTTTTATCAATCTAATCCCTTATATTATATTTTATTTTTTAGTTTTTAAAATTTTGAGTCTCTTTTTCCTCTCTAAATAATTACGTCTTTGTTCATTAACCTCCATCATTACCATTAATATTCCCTTATTTATGAGTAAATTTTAACCATGTTATCTCCACTTTGAGCAATAAGAACTAAATTAATAATTAAAACAAATTTAAGAGACAAAATTGTGATAAAAATTAGAGTTAAAAGAACAATAAACAAATTTGAAGGACCAAAAGTTCAACTACTCCAAAACAAATTAACAAAAACAAGTCATGAAGGCAATGATGAAGTTGAAGAGGAAATTTTCTTGATCAAGCATCTCGTGACGAACCATTCGGAGAAGGGTGAGGTTTTGAGGAAGAAGACGACCGTAATAGAGTATAGTGCAGATGGACGAGGCAGGCTCAAGAACCATCGAAGTTACAAGCCTCACCAATGACATCAACATCCAAGTTCTCACAGACTGCACCAACCAAAACCTAATTCAACAAATCTGTGACCTAAATCTATAAAGTCATGCATGATTGAACCACAAGAACAAAGAGAGATGAACGTACCATGAAATGATTAATTTGGCCTGGGCGATATGAAGTATATGAACTTGTGAGAGACCGTGATTTTCAAGTCCTTTTGATTTAGGTTTGGACGATGAAGCAAGGAAGGATGAGACATTATTATTATATATGGTTGTTTTCTATAAAGTGAAGCTTTTAAATCTAACGCACTTTCATACCTAACTTTCAAATTCAACAACTTCACTCTTCGTTTGGACTCACTCCAAAGTGAAATAAATGAATCCAAATCCAACAAATTTGTTCACAGGATGTGGAGAGATAAGAAATAAATGTCGTGTTCCATTTGTACACGTGTCCCCCCACTAAAATGTTGTCCATTATTCCTTTCTTTTTCTTTTTCCTTTTTTTTTTAAATTCTACTGGCTTCAGTTTGGGCCTAAGACGGGCTTCTTCCATGAGCTTTGGTGGTTTGAGTCTTGCATTGCCTAAAGTTTTCTCTGTCACTACCCTTTCATAAAAATCCCTCACATCGCCTTTCCTCCAATCCAACATAGAATGAGAGAAGGTACGAGAGGCAAATAAGAGCTTTAATTTGGGTGCTATTGGTTTTAAAAATTTAATCCATCTATTCTGATATTTCTTAAAATTTAGGTGATAGCTTTTCCTCTTAATTTCTTAAAATTTTATTAAAGATTAAGCAACATGAAATAGCCCACGCCACAACCGTTCTGCATCAATAGGATGCAGAAAGAACCAGTAAAAAACAAGACCATAAAAGCAGCTAAATCCAAACATCCAATTTCTGAAGGGTAAAATCATTCCTGAGAAGTATTAAATTAAATTTGGATTATAAAGTTAGATGAATGAAAGTGCCACGCGGCTTCGTAAAAGAAAAATCCAACAAAGGACCTACAAGTTGATATCAGAAGTTTTCCACAGCATAGAACATGAACCGATAACTCATACAATGTAGAAAAAATCGTACAGGCACGATCTTCCAGCAGAACGATTTCAACGGTAAGATTTCTGGAACCTGGCGCGAGCACCACGACCACCGAATTTCTTGGGCTCGCACCGCCTAGGATCAGCGACCAGCAGAGTTCGATCGTACCGCACAAGAATATCCTTGATCTCCTTCTTGCTCTGTTCATCCACGTACTTCTGGTAGTAAGCAACGAGGGCTTTGGCAATACTTTGACGAATGGCGTATATCTGAGAGGTGTGACCACCGCCCTTGACTCTGATACGCATGTCTACGCCGGCGAAACGGTGTTTCCCCAGCAGGAGTATGGGTTCGAAGGCTTTGAATCGGAGAATCTCCGGCTGCACGAGTTCAATCGGACAGCCATTGATCTTGATGAGTCCACGGCCGCGCTTGCAGTGAGTCACGGCGACGGCGGTCTTCTTGCGACCGAAACATTGAACTTGTTCCATTGGCTGCGCCTGAGCCATTGCTGCCGTGCACCGTGCTCCTTCCCTGTCGCTCCCAAAACCCTAGCGATTGCCGCGCGACGAAATAAGAGACCGATCACTCACGTTACGTTTATAAGGTTTTTAGAGTAAAAGGCTCGGCCCAGTTATTTTGGAAAGAAACGAAGCTTAGGTCCAAGTAACGCTCGGCCCAGTGTTTGGTTATGCTTAAATGAGCCCTTGTTCGCTTGCAGAAACAAACTCTCTTTTATAGTTGGTCCCAAAAAAAAAAATCTTTAATTAAAAGAAATAGGTCGAATTCTATTTCGATCACAGATAGAATGTTTTTATTGACGGGGATATTTGTGTTCAATGTGATGAAAATTGAATGCCTCAAAATCGAGTAGTCTGGAGTAAATGGATCAATATTCTTTTAGCCTCTCAGATTTTGAATTCCTCGGATCGTTCTTGGTCAAGTTTATTGGCTCTGAATACTACTTTTGACTATACTCCTTTATTCATATCTTGCTTGACTTACTTGAGAAATCTCAGGATGTTCGAAGAAAAATAGCTAGGCACTCTAAACTAAATATATTTTTTCTCTCTCTCTTTACAAGATTAGATGCTATGAGAGGCAAAGAACAATAATAAGAGGTCCAAGTGCAAGAAGTCAGTCGCGGACGCAGGATCCTGAGTCAGTGGAGGCATAATTAAATAAAATTTAAAAATAATAAAAAATAACTTAATATTTATAAAATAAATATTTAGTTTTGTAAAATAATATTAGGAAAGGAAAAATTAAAATGATATTTTCATAAAAATAATCTAAATTTAAATATAATGTACTCAAAATTTAAAACATTTTAAACTTGAGTGAAATATAAAACACTTAAAAAATTTTTGAACTCAAATATATTTTAGTTTAAGTTTAGTGGGTTCAAAATTATTAAGGTAATGTCTTTAAAATTTTCACATCTTCCTTGTAATTTTTTTCAAGTTGAGTAGGGGCACTTGTCCACCCTCAACCATGCCTAGGTCTGCTATTGTAAGAAGTATATCTTTGATAAAGACTTTTTGCACACATCACTCAAAATAATTAATAACAAAGATGTAAAAGCATCTACTGTGAAGATGTTCCAGATAGATGCATTACTTTTACAGTTTTACATGTATTCAAAAAATCATCAATGACCAAAACTTACAAACAAGATTCAACTATTTAGAAAAAAAAAAGATCAAAAACCAAATGGTGTCCCCTAAATCATCTGGTTGGCTTGGTTGGATAAAGTTTAGCATCAATAGATTTGTCAATAACATTGGTGTTATTTGTTGTGGTGATCTCGTGATCTCCTTCCAGACAATTAAGGAACCTAAATAAAATATTTTACTAAATAAATTGACCATCACCTTTACATCACAATTAAATTTATTGGCCTTTCTTAAAAGCCTCAACTTTTATTGAAATGATAAGCTTATCTAAGTTTTTGAAGTTAACACATTCATTCATCATAAGTTCTCCTAAAATCACCTATTTACTAAAATCATAAATAATATTAAAGATTTTATCGTAAAAGATTGAATGATTATTTTCAATTATACATGCAGAGAAGCAAATCACTGTATTAATTATTTGCTGACAAGCCATGAATAATCATTTAAATGTTAAAATTTTTTTATATTACTCGATCAAGAAGTAGAAAACTTTTATATTATGATATGATTTAATTGATTGTTCTTTTTCATGAAAACATTCATTCATTCGGCCCTTCAAGTGATTTCTTTTTTTCTTAGGCAAATGGTAAAGTGATGAATTTGTAATATGAAAAACATTTCAACAGGGACAATTTACAGGAAAAACAAGGCTACCATTCCTTGCAGCTATGAATCTACACAAAACAGAAGCTAAACTAAAAGAGATTTTCGCGCACTTATTTCAAAGCTTTTCTTGCAGTCATATTCCAAGTTCCAAGCCCGAATCTCCAGGCACCCAGTTAAGCCTCTCTTTCTGCTCTTGCTGTTTCAGCGTCTCATACAATGGAGCATTTCTAGTCTCAGGAAGCCACAAACTCACCAACCCACTACTGATCGATAACAAACCAAATACCAGAAACGAAAATGACGAACTCAAACGTCCCACCACTACCACCAAAGGCGCCATGGAAGCCCCTAACATCAAAGCTTGTCTCAGCATCGAAACTGAAAAGTTCCTCACGTTTGTGGGGAAAAGCTCTACACAGTAAACATATAGAATGTCAAATGCAGTAGAAGCACCCATGAATCCAATTGATTCGGTGATCAATTGACTCCAATTCCCTCCCATTTTTGGTGCCTTCAAACTGTTTGATCCTTTGCCTGCAGGAAAAGTGCATAAGAGGCTAGAAATCCCAGCCATGTAAGTGGACACAGAGAACAGTAAGCGTCTGTTTGTGAAGCCCAAGAGGAAGCTGCTTACTAGAACCGCAGGGATCTCCATTAGTGCATTGAGGGTGACTGAGATGTAAAGATTGAAGTTCAAATTTTCAACATTCAGTTGAATCCCATAGTAAACAAACCCAACTCCAAATCCAGATAACATAACAATGGCCATTCTTTTTGCAGCCCATTCTGTAGTCCAAAGGCTCTCTTTGTTGTTTTCTGGGTTTGTTTCTTTTTCACTCTTGGTGGCAAGTTTGGCTCCTGATGGTTTTGCCAGGCATAGAGTGTCAGGGAGTTTTTTCTTCCCATTGAGTCTTGCAAATCTATCGAGCACTGCAAGTGCTTCTTTGGCTCTACCTCTGACAAGAAGCCAACGTGGTGACTCTGAGACAAAAGGGAGGCATAGGATAGAGTATGCAAGAGGGAGAAGGGATATGATCCTGTACAAGTTTCTCCAGCAAGTTCTGGTTGGGTAAGCTAGAAGAGGGAGAGAAAGAAACCCAACTGTGAAGAAGAAGAAGCCATACTGGCCTACTTGACCGCGCCATTCACGCCCTACAGACTCTGTTGAGAGGACAAGGCAGCATATGCCAATTCCAGATCTGGCAAAGCCCATTGCAAAGCGAAGGACAGCATAAACCCAGACATTTGGGGAGAGAGATGTAGCAAATCCTGTTATGGAGGTTAAGATGCATGAAACTAGAACTGTTCTTTTTCTTCCCAGCCATGAGTCAGCTAAGCGACCAAATACAGCAGACCCTGCAGAAAAATTTCAGCAGCTAGTGCATGTAAGGGTTTATTATTCATCAAAAACATTTTTAGGTAGATCAAGTAAATTATAAGTAGGGATACATGTTCAAGATATTCATTATAAAGAGTCTCTCTTGTAACAAGTGTTTTGCACCGTAACATCTAATACATCTGCATCGCAGAAGTGATTCTAGGAAGTTGAGATCAAGTAACTTCTATAAAACCCATACTGATGGACGAACAGTTGGAATTTATGAATTCCATCTCATTTAAAGCTTCTAAACAACTGGAAACCAAAGGGGCCTAGTGTAATTTATTAGCTGATTCAAGAAGTAAAGTCTCTTCCTTTGAGTTAATGACTGGGATTCATTAAATAATGGCCTTAACTCCAGAACGAGCGTTTAGAAGAGGGAGAAATCCTCCAAATAAACCAAGGAGATTTAAATTAAGAAATACAATATATACTTTAGATAGCTGAAGATATCCACTAGCGGTGATGTACTGTAATATGTAAAGCCAGTAATTTGGGCGGGTCGGATTTATTTAAATCAAACTTAAAGTATCCTACTCTCTTAAAAAGCCTATATAATCAAGTCCGACCGTAATTTTTTTCAGCTGGTTTCGAGCTAGTCTATCTGGTTTGACCAAAATTGCCAACTCTATATACATGTATATAGAGCTAAAAATTCCAACAGTTGAGCTCATTCAATCCGGGCTCAATTCAAATTAGGTTTATTCAGATCATGCTTAAAGTGTTTTACCTTCTTAAAAAAGCCCATGTAGCTAAGCCCTATCCTAATTTTTTTTCGACGAGTTTGGGTTTGGCTCGAATTACTAGCTCTATTCATATGCTTCAATTTAGAAATATAAATTGGTTAGTGAAAGTGCATAAATGGTTTTAGTGCGTGTTTGGTTTTCTATTGGCCAAAAGTTTGCTTATCAAAAGTTCATTTGATAAAAATTAATTTAATGAAAGTAAGTAGCTATAATGAGATTTGTATTTGGATATATTTTTTCAAAAGTTAATTTGATAAACTAAAAGTTGTTTGAATTATATATAGTAAAATGCATTTTTGAATATACAATTACAAAAAAAAAAAGCTTAATTTATGATGATTTATAATTTTTATTATGCAAATATAATATATTAGAAATGTTTTAAACAATGTGGTAAAAATTTTGAATAAAAATATAAAAAATTTATTTTGAGTAATATATATAATCAACATGTATTAAAAATGTAAAATTAAAACAGTTGGGAAAACATGTATAATAAAATAATAATAAATAATAAAAATTAAATTAATTTTATGATAAAATCAAATCATTTTTAAAAAAAATGGTAATTTCCCCATAAGTGAAACATAGATCAAAACATTTGCTCCCATGGAAGAAAAACATTTGCCAAAGAAATGAGTACGTAGCATGGATTTCAAAGTAAAGACGGCTTGTTTTGTCAGCAAAGCAGAAGTCCATTTGATCAAAGCTAAGGTTCCAGCTTTCATGTTTTCATGTCAAAAACAAAAAGGATAGTGAGTTTGAAGATAAACCATATGTAATAAGCAACATTTACCTATGAGAGAACCCAGGAAGAAGAAGGAAGCAGGAATTGCAGCAAGAAATTTGCGGTCACAGATGAGACCCCACTCAGCTAAGGTAGAACTTGTGTGGCCATTAACCCATTCCCAAGTCTCTGGCACCAATTCACAAACAGAACTACTAGTGTTGTTAAGGCACAGACCAGGAATTTTGCACCTCCAAGCTGGTGGTTGTGCATCACTGAATATGGTGATCAATGTAGTCTGGGCATCAAATATCCATGCTAGTGACACCAACAATACATGCAGCACTTGGGAGATCCCCAAGGACCCCACATACCCTTCTATTACTTCATCCACTGTGAGCTCAAGTTTTGTACTCACTGTTTCTTCTTTTTCTTCTTCTTCACTTGACAGAATCAGTTTTAGCCCTTCATCTTCCATGACTCTCTCATACACAAAAATACAATGAACTTGGTGGTTTTGCTTACTTTCTTGTTGCAATGTCCAAGCCTTTTATAATGTTGTTTAGCTTACTGTTAAAGAATTATTTTAAAAAAAAAAAGTAAATAACTTGATAAGTGGGTTCTGAAATTCTTTTTTTTTTTTGAATGAAAAAAAGGAAATGTAAAACATTTACAGAAGTCAATGGCCACATTAAAAGTATACATGGAAATGGATTTCACTTTTACGGCATATATTGATTGAGAGATTCTCAAATATGATTGGTTTAGGTTACAAATGATGAGACCAAGCTAATCCTGACTTTATATAAGCAAGTGACGTGTGGGACTCAATATGTCTGAGTTTGATACTCTTGTATGTGTATTAATTATTTGCTTAGGTCATCTTTCTACCACAAATTGTCCGTTGTGCCTTGTATTTAAAATGTGTGTTAGAGATCATAAAATAACACCAAATACTGGTATAATGGAATGTGAGATCAGAGTGGCAATGACAGAAGCCACAGGCCAATGAGAAGACCATGTGAGAGTGTAAAGAGGTATGGCAAACCCCTAGTCAACATCAGTGATTAAAAAAATAGAATTATGATAAATTGTTGGTAATGCTAATGCATGGCTCCGGTTATTAGAGGAAAAAGTAGTAGCTGAACCAATCACTGATTGATAAATGCACGGCTGTTATTTCTTGGCCCAGCATGGTGGAGATCATGCTTGTATAGGGAACGTTAAAAGGCTCCAACACTGTTAATTTTGTCTCTGAGAAATCAACTCATCAATAAATAATATGAGAAGCTATCCTTTGTATTTGTTCTCAAATTCTTCAACAAAGATATAATACTTACTTTTTACTTTCATTCTACAACCTAGTAGTATTGTTTTATATCAATGTTTTCATGTGTAATGCAATTAAAACTTATAAGATTAGTTTGCATGATTTACTTTGTGGCCTGTTGTTATTTTTTAATTTAGTTCAAATTCCATCACATATTATTGGAATAGAAAATAGAATTATAATGTCAAACAACTCTCTCATTTGTTTCCTTTTTCGTGTTAATCTTTCTTTTAGCTCTGTTACCAATAGTATAATTGATCTTCACTAATGTAGGGTAGCGTGTATAATGGAATGACATTGACAATAGGAAAAATAACTTTGGGCAATTTTAATTTTACAAGTGTGTGTCCATTTGTCAATTTATTAAAATAGGATGTGATTAAAGAAATAGTGACAATCCACCTAACACCCCAAAGTGCTGACTGACTTGTTAAGCAAAATCTAAAGTTCATTTCCCAATTCTCAGATCTTTTTTTGTTGATTAAATTAAGCATAGAAACTCAAAGGTGGCAAATGAGTAAGCCTACAAATTCAAAGTTTCCTCAATCATTTACTTTAGTTCCCATCAAAATAGTAATAAATTGGGGAAAATGCGGTCCATGAAACAACTCTAATCCAACATGTGTGATCAACTAACAGTCTACATGATGTGTTGCTAATCAGATCATTTGATTTTATCTGGTAAAGACAATTTCATGGATACAAAATAATTCTTATATTCATGCTTTTGAAAAAGAATGAAAAATAATTAAATGATTAAAGTTATAGTTATAAAAATATAATAACATTTATTTTAAACAATGGTTAGAATCATGTGAAAAGAAGTACTGACAATGTGTTTGATATACTGGAATTGATTATAAAAAATGAGATTGACATGACATTACATCATTTGGTATGTTTCTTTTATTACCAGTTTATATTAGATGTTACATGAGTTATTATGTATTTTTTCTTAATATTACATGAAAATTTTCATTAAGAAGATAACTAAGAAATAAAGAGTCTGTGGTAAAAAAAATAAAAAGTTAGATATTAATTTTAAACTTTTAAGTATATAAAAAATTTTGTGTAACTGTCTTAAAATTTATAAAAAGGTTGTATATTTTAGTTTTTTTTTAGTTCAAGGCGAAGTGCATTGTCCACCCATTAACCTGTCAATTAGCCAGAGCGTAGCGTCAGCTTTCATTATGAGTTTTAACTCTAAAACTCGCCAATTGTCAACGATGGTGGATGAAAAGAATGTAACTTTAATTTATAAAAAATATTAATTGATTTTAAAATTTTAATTGAATTTACGTTTAGTCCTTAAAAAAAAAAACCAATGTCAATTTCTTCCTACTCAAATTTTTTGCATCGCTTTTATTACTATTATTATTTCCAACGTATTAAACATATTATACATAATACAATATTATAAAAATCAAATGTTTTTATAAGGAGCAAGTTGTTATAAAAAAAATTTGATTTTTATATTAAAAACATTTGGAAATGATATAAAAATTTAATCAAATTCCACACTGCAATGTCCATCGAGTCAAATAATATTATTATTTGATATAAGCCACATATAACTTATATGTGCTTGTATAATTATACATATTAAAATATGTTCCAAAAGAATTATTTCTCTTGAAATCATACAAAATATAATATGAAACAAAAAAATAATAGAAATAAATAATTGAAACTATAAAATTATGAATATGAATAATAATAAAAGAAGAGGAGAGAGAAAGTTAGACAGAGAGAGTGAGAAAATATGAAAAAGCTTTCTGATATTTTGATGATTCAATGCAATTATATGCCATATATTTATAGGCACATAGGTATACAATTCCAATCTAATTAAAATCTACAAATTAATAATAATGAGATATTATGAAATAATAGAGATGCTGAAAGATATCATGGAATGATGAATATTCTTTTAATTTAGTAATAATTGGGGATAAAAAGGACTCAAACACTAACTTAATTGGGGAAAGGACTAAAATTACAAAATAAGGAAGAAAAAGTGCAGAAGAATCATTAAAGATAAACTATAGATCGTGGAAGAAAATTTGCAGAGTGTGAATTTGGTCCCTTTTCCCAATTAATTAAGTGGTGGGTCCTTTTCCTTAATTTTTCCTTTAATTTATATTCATAACAAAACTATACATTATACGATGCATATAGAAAATTATAAAATTAGATAATTAAGAAATAAAATAGAGATGTAAAGCTTACTCTATATATATACATGTGTGTGTGTGTGTGTGAGGAAATTAAAAGGACAAGAATTTAAAATTCTATATGTTTCAACTATAACAATAAAAAGAAGGGTGGGGGTGAATAAATTCACAATTGCAAAATTCAGTGTGACTGTCACAAATTTTCAGAACTCGATCAACTAGTTCTTCACTTATAATTTAGAGATTTTCATTAATCTTCCAAACTCCAATGAATGAGTTCATCGACCTTCAAAATCAATTTATGTACCCGTGTTAGCTTGATTCCCATATATATATAGTGGTACATATGCAAAAAAAAAAAATTACATCTAGGTCCCACAAAAAAAAATTTATTATTAAAAGATTTCATGAAATTCACAAAATACTTTAAGAGTTATAAATAGTCGTTTACCAATTGTTAATACCTTTAGTCAAATTATAAATGTACAAGATTTAGAACTTAAAAGTATTTTGTAAATTTTATGAGATCTTTAAGTAATAAATTTTTTTATGCAGGACTTGATGTAATTTTTTTCAAAAAGAAGTGTACAAAAAATTTGTAATTAAATCAAAATAATGTGGTAAAAAATAGTTTGACCTACCTTGTACTGCAAAGTTACAAGCCACCACTACCTCCCTCTACTCCTTCTGGCTCGTTCAAAGGATGTTCTTCATCATAACATAACAGCAACAAACAAGCCACACAAAAACCATAATGTCAATAATATTGCCATTACAAATTTGTGCTTTCTGCCAGAAACAAATATAAACTGAAAAACGAAAAACAGTTACATGAAGATGTTACTCATCATGCGTTCACAGCCTCTAAAGCTATTTGTAATGTCCCATTTTTCAAATTGTTTTTTTTATTTTTCTTTAAGGTTTTATTTTTTTTGGCCAATTTTAGCTTTTAGTTAATATAAATGGCGTTTAAGTATCTTGCAGTTTTGAAATGAAATGATACAGTTTTGTAGTTTTTATATTTTTTAACAAGAAATACCATGAAATGATGCACTCTTGTAGTTTCAGTATCTTGTAGTTTTGAAATAATATAGTACTAAAATTTAGGTCAACTCGACTAATTGAAATGGTATATCGTTGAACTAATGTCTTAATTAATTCAATGAAATGCATTGATTATGACTAGTTTGATCATAATTCAAACTATAATTTTGATCATTAATTTTTGAATTGATATGTTGCTAATTTAATGACTGACGCACACAAGGGCAAAACCAACGTCATGATTGAGGGGGAGATAGTTTTATTGACATTTCTTTCTAATTTTTATTGTAATTATTTTTTAAAAATAAATTATAAAATCTAAAATATCATTAAATGATAATTATACATAATAGCATATCAAAATTCATAATCACACCATATATCTTATATATCAATTTTTTAAAAATATGTAGATATATATATATATATATAAGTGTTTATAATTTTAGTAAATTTTTAAGCTATTATGATTAATTAGTATCAATTCCAAATTGAACAAAAAATAAACGATTCTCATGCAAATGCTCAATTTTATAATAATTGATTATAAATAATTTAGTTAAAAAATAACATTTATAATATAAACATCTAGTATCATTTGTTGTTAATGAAACATTAAATTTGATAATAAAAATATTTCAATAAAAATACTCCCTTCAATCTTATATACAAACCATTTCTCAGAACCTTTAATGGAAATAAGGAAGGGTTAATTAGTTAAATTATTAATGTTAACCACAAAAGAAAGAAATTAAATTTTTCAATTTACCTAATTAAACACATCATTTTTAAAAACATTTGCTCTCTCATATGTAACGTCTAACCCTACTCATAAAAATTGTAAAAGAGTAAAATTTTTTTAAACAAAGTAATTAATAATCCATCTTTTTATGTAAAGTGATACTTTACAAAAAAGACTATCAATTTTTTTAGAAGGTGAAATATATACAAAGACTAGAGAGTAATAAAATATATGCTATTTTTTTATATGAATATAATAATAAAGACACAAACAAACAGACATAATTTATATTACATAGGCATGTGTATTACATTCTAGTATACTTGGCTTCTCATATTTCACAGAGGAGGGGTGTTTCTGGCAAGGCCTTAACAAATAACACCCCCATATATCCATGGAAGAGGCAGAGGAACATGTCTTTTCCTTCTACCTTTTTCCTCTTAATCCCCCTATTTTCTTCTCATTTAAACGGAGGGCCAGAATAATCATGCGAGAAAAAGAGAGGTTTTTGGGTTACCTGCAACTTTGTGGAACAGTCCAATGAGGACGTGAAGTTGTATTCTGATGTGGAGGAGGCAAAGCAGTGTAGTTTTTCCAATCCTGAAGCAAGATCTTAAGATCATTGATTTTGTTTTCCAAGCCAACGCAGCAATTGGCATGCATGGTACAGACATGGTCGAGGTTCTTGCTGGGCTGACAAAACCCACCAAAATAAGCAGTGTCGAGGAACCTGATCTGAAGCTTCATGTTGGAGATGAATGGGTTCCATTTGATCCTGTTGAGCACGTCCTGGTCGTGCAGTTTAGGGTATAGTGTCCTTGAATTGTACCAGAACTTGTAGAACCACACGGTTCTGTTGCTAGATTTTACGTACGTGAACCCTCCATTTGGCATGTTCTTCAAGTCCTGGGGGTTCCCGCGGAAATAATCACAAGCTATTTGGAAATCTGCATCCTCGTAGAATCGAGGAAATGGGTCTCTCAACCACATTATATCTGTATCCTGCAAACCAAAAACAACAATTCTGCCTCTCAATTACCATATTCTGCTTTCATTTGGTTGAAGCAAGCGGAGGTATGTGAGATGTGAATACTAATTAGGTCGGGCTTAATATCTAACATATAAAAAGCTTATGTAGCCTATCAGGCTTATACAAGCTGGCTTAGATATATGAAACCAAGTATTGAAAAAGTAAAAATAAAAGTATAATAAGTAACCTCTTGTGTTTAGTTTTTGCTTTGACATTTTCAAAAAATATTCAAATCAAACAGTTGTTGAAACATTGAATCTTTCAGTTAGGAGTGTCAACTGTGTGAATTGGAAACCTGGGAAAAAAATTTGTGAGCCCAAAATGAAGATCTATCTTTTTATCACTCATAGGTGTCTTTCTAATGAAAACAGTACAGTGAAGCTTGGCTCAAATAAGTTCAAAGTGAAGAAATTTTTTTAAAATTTTAGGTCCAATCCTAAGATTTTTGAAGCTTAATTCAAACTAAGTCATCATGCTTGACTTAAATTATCAGCTCTTAACTATGATAATGTTCAAGTTTGCGCAACCTGGGTGCTTCCTAGTACAAGGATTGAGATGGTGAATGTAGGTGTGTGGTGGAAACCATTGAAGAAGAGAGTATTTTGTGGGAAGCCAAATTAACATACCGTGAAGACAAAGCTGTAGCCCATATCAAGGACAGTTCCCAGGAACTCAATCCTCTTCCACATCATGTGTAGGTAATCTGGGGTCATGAAGAAAGCTTCGCTGGTGAAATTGTCGCTTGTTTCGAGCCGATAACAATGTGGGTGCACAGCAGTGCAACGATCATATGCCTTCTGGTCCCAAGTTACCACCACCAGGTTCTTCAGAAGCTTCTTGGTCTGCTTCCCGATCCGAAAGCTCTCCAGAAACAGATCAAATATGGATCCTGGTTCTGCCCACGCATCGTTCAGTGTTGTTATTATCACCGTCTTGTTCCCCATTGATGCACGTCTCAGAACACTCTCTAGATTCGGATCATATTCTCCCTGCAGATTTCATACTATCAATCAAACACCATAGGCTCCAAGTTCATGTTTCACACAAGCATTTCGTCAGACAGAGAAAAGGCATTGCAGAGCAAGTTATCTGTACATTATTCGCGAGAGCCAGATTTTGATCATTGTATACATATCTAACAAATTAATTGCAGCCAAATATCCAATAAATTAATTATACCTAATAAACTAAGATCCTTTATATATATATATTAATAAAAGTGAGTAACGATTATATTTCAGAATCATTTATAAACAATTACAGACAGTAATTAACAAAATGAAACACCGGCCCATGTATACCTAATTCAAATGCGTACAAGTAAATACGTACACGTGATTTGTTATGATATTTCATTCAAGACGAAGATGTCAAACTAGCTAGACAACAAACATTTTAAGGTTATTAATTAAACTATGGAGTACTTAGAAAGGCTTGCTTTATTTATTGCGGACGCTTATTTGGGCAAATATCCTGTTTTGAAATATAATTGTTGACAAATAGTATCCTTAAACAAATTTAGTTTAATAACGTTAATGAGGGTTGGCTGAATAAATTGCTGAATTGTTCATAGAGTTGCTATAGCTAGAAAGTAATATAGTTATTTTAGTCAAATCACAAATTAAAGAGGCTTATTAACTATTTTCCAAAAGCTAAGCATAAAGTGAAAAAAAGCCTAAAGATAGGTAAGAAAAATTTCACCACCCACTTCTAGTCTACTACCATGCAACCAAGGTTATTATAGCTGAAGAAGATTGAATTTTCTTTTATGATAGAAAGTTGGCATGAAAAAATAGATTGCTATTAATTTACTAAATAGTTATTGTAGCAAAAAAATAGTATATTGAAAATAAAAAGAATATTATTTTTATTAACTAACTTCTATATAACCCTTGTACGAAATAAAGATGTGAAATCAATTATTTCTTCTCATTTCTCATGCAAAATATGAAAGTTCAAGTTTATTTTCAATAAAAATTTCAAATCTCTCATTTTTAATTGGAATATTGCAATTAAGTAAGACATCAAATTCTAAGTGATTTTTTCAATAGCTTGAAATTTTTAATTGGTATCTTTTTTAAAAAAATAAAACGTAGATCCTTAAAATAAAAAGAACACCTTACCTATAATTATATTGTTGATAAAACATTCAAACAAACAAACAAGTTCACATTAAAAATTTGTGTAAGTGAATAAATAATTGTTTTAATATAACTTACAATTTTCTATAACCAAGTTTTAAAAAAAAAAACACCTTTTTGAATACAAAACAAGCAATATTTACTGTGAAAGATTAAAACTCTAGGGCTAAGGACTAGCATGGGGCACTCTTGTTTGTGGAAAGTTGAAACTACCCACTTCTTTCGCCTCATTTTTCTCTATGAATCGTTAGAATCATATCCACTATCCAAAAAATTTCTATTGGATCCTCATTATTTCTCCTTTTTTTAATTATACCCCATTATCTCCCTTTTTTCCAAGTATTACCCCAATTATTTCCTTTTTGCCCCCAGAATTCTTGACCTCAATCTCCATTCTCCACTTTCACTCACCTGCCTAAAAGAAGAGAGAAGAAATCGCAACTCATAAGTAACCCCAAACCTAACACACAAAATGATATTATAATTATACCCCACTCCCCACAATTTCCCTTTTTTGTAATTTTACCCCTACCTCTTTTTTTTTTTTGTGAGTATAATCCCCCACTTAAACTAAATTCTTGCCCTGTATCAAACCTTCACTCACATGAAACTTCATTCACCCGAAGAAAAAGAGACTCAGAAGTAACCCCCTCCCCAACACACAAACCAATAATAATTATTATGATCGTGGGACCTACAATAATACTAATTTACTATACAAACATTCCAAAAAGTTCCACCATATTAACCAATCTGGATCCTCTTCAATGTAAAAAATTGGAGGCTAAATCCTCTAAAATTAGGATTGATGAGTTTTTATCAAGTTCTTTTTTATATTTTTTACCATTTTATTATTTTGTATAAAACATAAAATCTTCTCTCTTTAAAAACAAAGTAAATTTCATGAAATTTACATGTTGTCAACTGCATGATTAATTGATTATTCATTCCTTAAAAAATTAGTCTCTTTATTTAAAAAATAAAAGATAGTCCAATCCCACTCATCTCACTCTCCACCTAAAACCACGAGAATAGATGATTCAGTTTCATAACAGAACATAAGTGATTTCAAGAACACAAAAAAGAATCAAAATCCATGATTCAAATAAAAATAAAATAAAATCCAATCTCTCTTTCCTGGGTTTCGTAATACGCGTTCTTGAACAAAACCAGAATGACCGTCGCAATACAAAAACCAGACAAAACGGTATGAGTTAGGAGGGTGGGCGGAGAGAGTGATGACCTTGGTGACGGCGGCCGGTATGGCGGCGGTGAGGTAATGAGAGATGACTGGGAAGCCGAAGGGAGAGGCGGAGTTATACAGAAATACCCACAAGACGGTGAAGCCGACGAACAACAGGCTCATTTTCGTCACTCTTTTCACCAATCCATGGCTGCCGGAGCCGCCGGAGTTCCACGACGGCGGCTTTGTGAGGTCGACGCCGGCCGACGAGGATGTTTTGTTGACGCTGCCGGCGATGACTGAGTCCTTCATTACCGATCGATGAACGATATGGAACTCTGAGCTTTGGCCTTCTGAATACCAATATAAGCTCTTTATAATTTGTTAGTATTTGCCGACCAAAATACTAACAATATATGCACATACGCGTAACTTATAATAAATAAATATACACTCTATATATATAGATGGCTTAAATTATTTAAAGCTCTTTTTGTTATTTTTTATTTTTATTATTTTTTATAAGATACAATTTTTTTCAATCCATCCCTGAAAAAGATAAACTTTATGAAATTCAGGTTCTCAATTTCATAATATCAATTCCATATATAATTAATACTCATCTAGCTCAATCTCAATTCACAATTTATAGGATATTTTTAAATAAAATTATGCATACCAACAAAATTAATTAAATACAGTTAATAATTTTATTTATTTAAAATAAAATATATTTTTAAATAAATATTTTTTATTTAATACTTCATTTATAATATTAAAAATAGAATATAATGAGAAAGTCAATATTAAAAAATTATCATTAATAAAATTTTATTGGTATTAAATTATCTTATATTTTGATATATCAAATCTTTCTTAAAAGTGTCGTATAAATTGAAATGGAAAGAATAATAAAATCCTTTTTATATGTATATTTAAGGTGGGACAAAAACAAGGAGTATCATGTAGAGTATGTCAAAAACTAAATTGAGAGATAGAAACAAGAAACAAAAAACAAAAAACATTGTTAGGTTGGTGATAAGGTAGAGAGACGAGCGAAGTTGGTGATAATGGTCAAAAGAAAGTTTTTTATTTTCTATAATAATTATAATTAATAAAATTATTAGGTTTAACTGGATTAGGCTCCTCTGACAAACATTGCAGGCTGCTTTTACTGGAAGAGGAATATTCTAAAGTTAATTATGAGTTTCTTTGATCTATAATGATACTATTATTATATTAAAAATATGGCGTCACTGCTCATTTATTTGGATTATTTGATTTTGTTCCATGATTTTTTATTTTTTTTGGTCATTTTGTAGTTTGATTTTTAAATTTTGTTGCGTCAGTATCAGGGTTGTTTTGATCTTTGGAATCAACGTATGTGATTATCTTGTTTACAAGATATCGATTTAATTAAAAAAATTGGCTTATTTTAGCAAACAAAATAGGGTTAATGATTTAGTCTGAGTTCTTGTAAATAAAAATATATTATGTGCATATTGTGTATAATCCCACATTTACATAATTAATTTTGCACCCATGTCCTCTTTTTTTCCTTTAAAAAAACTCGCAACAAAAATATAAGAAATGATAACTTGTCTTTGTGCATGCACCAATAAGAAAAATCATAATTTGTAATTTGACAAGATAAAACATGACATCTGTTACCAATAATTGTAATTGGATGGAATAAACTCGACTTCTTATTAGTAGATTTGAAATCAAAGAATCATTTTGAAAAAATTTTCCCTATTAAATTTAACAATCTTTGAATATGATCCACTCTCTCTCTCTGTTTGTTTGTTTTTTAAAAAAATTACGTTTTATTATGTAAAGCATTAATATCCCACAATTTTTGTGCGATTTGATGGCTTATTCTTGAGAGGGTTTCTTCTTTAATTCTTGAATCTTGTAAGATTTGTTTAATACATTGTCATTTTCAATTTCTAATTATTATTTCTTTTATTTTAAAATTCAAATATTAATTTTTCTGTGACAAGTTATTACTTGTTATTATTATTAGATTTATACTAGGCTTTCATTATATCTTGCTGAAAAATCAAGAACATAATTCAATAGTTAGGTATGCGAACAAATAAATGAAAAGGCCGGTCTAGTTGCAATGTTGGAATTACATGTAAATGTCACACTAATTTCTTTTAATTAAAGTCTAATTGATGATACAATTAATATTAAAACTTTTTCTTCTTTTGAAGTGTTATCAGAATCGTTGTCTTCCAGATATAGAGGCACTATAATAAAAACAAGTGAGGCTGAGTCAGTATAGTATAGCAAAGATGTCTAAATTAAAAACTATGGCTAATTTTTTAAAATTTTGAGTAAAAACAAAAATTATTTTAAAAAATATAATCATTTGATTAATTAGAAAATTTTAATATAGCCTAATAAAAATATTTTTATACAATTATATGATATGCTCTAATATTATTATTATTATTATTATTGTTATTATTATAAATCAGATATCATCGAGCTTAATGAATTAGGAGTGGCTCTCTCAAGATAATTTTTTTTCTATATATCTACAAGATTTGAACTTTTAATTTCATTTAACAAAGATCAAATTCATTTCATTCGATCCAACTATCGTTAGTGATGATTTTTTTTATCCATATTAATATTGTAATTTGGGAAAAAAAATTGCTAATGGAAGCGATTGAGCATTGAACATTAGATGATTCTCAAAAAATATCTCTTATCTTCAAAGGAAAAAAAAATTAAGCCATTCAGAACAAAATATTTATTTAAAATATTTTTTCTCTATCCTTAAAAAACTCTTTTAAAGTTACATATATGGATAAAAGATTAAGTGACAGTAAACTATGAATTTTTGAAAATAAACTCAACGTCTATTGAATATTAGATTGCATATTCTTAACTCATGTTTTGGGTTCACTGTCGCCATAAAAAAACTTCACTTTTTGTTGCCGTTTTTTAAAATTTTCGATAGTGTGATAATCTATTTGGAAACTTTTATCCTATAGAAAAAGAATACTTTAAAACGTTTACCTCTCTATGATTCATTTATTAACTTCACAAATAAATTATTTGAAACAAATTTAAGATCAGTTTGAAAGGGAGACATCAACTTCCGAACAGAGTGACTTCGTCATATACAATTATTTAAAAAGTAACTACGACCTAGTTATTATCCAATATATTAGTTTTTTCAATCAAAGATTATTGCAATCAAAGAAGTTGAACGTATGTGAATTGAAAGGATCATGAAGAACCAGTTTCAATCTTCAACTAAGAGTTCACCGCTTTTGAACCGTTCAAATCTAATTTTTATGGTTTAAATTTATAATTTTTTATTAGGTATTTTTAAATAAAAAATTATTTTTAAAAAATTGACAATTAAGAGATTATCTTTATTTTAGATTATATATTCATTAAAATAATTTTTTAAAAAAATAAAAAGAAAAAGGTTGTAAATTTAAACCATCCAAATTAAATTTAAATGGTTCAAAAACTATAAGCTATCAATACTTATTTGTATGATAAGTGTTGAAATTAATTTTAGGTTGTACTAGCTTGGGTATGATATCTTGAATTTTTTTCTTTCCCGGTGAGAAAAATGATATCTTGAATTTTAAATCTATGTGAATCGTGGAATAAAAATAACAAAGTTTTGTATTAATTTACTAAAGTATCTTTAGCTCTTATTTTGGATTAATCTTTTTTCAATTATTAATATTTGAATTTAGAGGATTAGGTAGAAAGAGAAAAAAGAATTAGGCAATTTGTAACTCTTAATTAATTGATTGATTGATTAGTGATGGAATGATGGAACAACTTTTTCCTGTTCATTTTTTGATTAATCTTTCCAATTATTAATGTTTGAATTTTAAAGCTACAAATTGCAGCCACAACTTTATAGTCAATATCATTTCCCTATTCATTTATTTTACATTATATTTTATTATTTTTGGAACGTAATTATGTCCACCGCCGCTAGATTACATCAATGCAAATCACTATGACTTTTATTATTTGTATATATGGGAATTTTACTTAAATAGCACTAATTAATCACCGCAATTCAAAGCCCTTATTTGCTATTTATACAAGTACATTGATGATTTTGGAAAAAATAAATGAGTCGAGTAATTAGCTAATAATAAAACATGTCTTTTATGGAGTGTCAGGCAAAAGTTTTTTTTTTTTGGGTGAAATTATATATTATGGGCATATATTGTCAATAATTCACATGCAAAATTTAGGCGGAAAAGGAAGAAGTCATAATTAATTTAATCTCTTAAGTCCAAAAAGACTAAAAAGATCATCTAACTGTGTTCTACATTTCATAGAATTAAATAATTAACTATTGATGAAAAATCGTTAACATTGTTCTCTAGTTTGGTAACTACATGAAAAAAATTAAAACATATTCTCTTAATTTTTCTTCTTTCTAATAAAATGATCAATATGTTAAAAAAAAAAAAGAAAATTAAAGTACAGTAATCCAAAAGTAAAAAAGATGAAAATTATAAGTTAATTTAACATTTGTAATTAAAGTAGTAAGAAGGAAAATATAATAATAAGCTGTGAATGTCAAAAATTAGAGTTGATTTGTCAATCCAGGCAAAGAAGTGTTGAAGTATTGTTACCTGTAACAAACCAAATTGAAAGTTGACTCTGCTATCAGACAGTAAAAAGGTCCCAATAAGATCCAAAGAAGAGTGCGACGCAAATACTCTGGGGGGAAAAAATTAGTTCTAGAATCCGAGCAGATCTCCGCCATTTCAGCACATGAATCTGGATAGATGATACATGTAAAGAAAATGCCTGAACTAGATTTTTTTTTTTTGCAAAATATATTTTCCATTCCAAAAATATTTGATGATTCCTGCAAGAATAATTGGAATTTGTCCAAACCATCATATCATTCTAATTTCTTTGAGATTAATCTGTCTGAGTAACAAATATCAGTCAAGAATAAAAATTAATGACAAAATTATGACAGTAGCTGTGACTCTTATAATTTTCCTATGAACGGTAACTTATATGCGTAATTTAGATAATTTATTTTTTAAAAGTGCAAGAAGATCATTCTATAGGAGATTGAATCATCGTATACTATCCCAAGTACCAACTCTCTCCAATGGTAAATCTAAAAATTTTAGTTTTTGGTAATAAAAAAATTATTGACATGACTTTCAAATTACTTGTTTCTCGTGACTTTTTATATCTTAGGTTTCTTTGCTAGAAAAATATATCTTGGATTTCTAGTATATTATTTTTTGAGTAAATAAGCTAATATATAATTTATGAATTGGGCTTGTTGGAAAAAATAAATGAATAAAAAGGTTTAGATTTTTAGAAGAATATGAGTTCA